TCAGTTCTTTTTAAGCAAGCCGTAGTTTTTTACAAGACAACAACACTCATTTGAATAGACAAAGAGCGATTGCCAGTAATTACCATGATACAGTGCCTATCTAAACATTAGAATGCGCAAACATGCGTGTACAAGCAAACAAATTAGGGCAAATAGGTATCATGCATCACGCCTCATTCAGTCATGTGAGCTAGTTGAAGTAAACAGGCGTTATTCCTCGCGCATCAATTATGCGCGTAAACTATTTCAAATGAACATGCATCACACGTCACGCGTCAGACATCACGTACTCTTATAAACGATTTGAAGCTAGCGCATATCACACCTAAGGGCACATATTACGTTCGCATAATTGGCCAAGATGAGCCCAGTATGTTAAGACTTGGTCGCCGACTTTTTATAAGAATGGATTCCCTTATTTTCTTGTCTGTGTGGTTCTGCGTTCTGTAGAGGACTTTGAGAAAGGGGTATAGGGTACAGGTTTCTCTCGATTTCAGCCTGACCGTGTTTCGCCCAAAAAAGGTTACCGAAAGGGGTTTCCCTGTTTTGTTTTTAGCGTTTTGCAAGTGTTTGTTATATTTCAAACGAATAGGGCGCATGGACTCCCCAATATAGACTATGTTCCTTCCGTGTTTTTTACACCGTTTACACTTGGTTTCGTAAACCACGTTTTTGCACGAAAATTCCTTGAATCCCGCCCCCAGAAAAAAACAAATGTTGTTTATGAAATGAAGTGTAAATCGTGTGAAAAACATGGGAGGGACATAGTCTATGTCGGGAAGTCCATGTCCCCTATTCGTTTGAAATATAACAAACACTTCCAAAACCCTAAAAACAAAACAGGAAAAAACTTCGGTGAAAACTTCGGTGACCTTTTTTGGACGAAACATGCTCAGGCTGAAATCGAGGGAAGCATGAGCCCTATGCCCCTTTTAGAGCTTAAGGTCATCTATAAGGCACAGGGCCACCCAGACAGAAAACTAAGTAAATCTATTTTTATAAAAAGTCGGTGACCAAATCCTAACATACAAGGCTCGTCATGGCCGATTATGCGAAACCTGATATGCACCTTTAGGTGTGATGTGTGCTAGCTTAGAATCGTTTACACGAGTACGTGATGTCTGACGCGTAATGTGCGATGCCTGTTCAATTGAAATCGCTTGCACGCATACTTGATGCGCGACGTATGATGCACGTTTAATGCAACTCGCTTGCATGTTTGAATGAAGCGTGATGCATCATGCCTATTTGCCTGAATGCGTTTGCGTGCACACGTATGTTCGCGCACTCCAATGTTTAGATATGCACTGTTTCATGGTAATTATTGGCAATCGCTCTTTGTTTAATCCCATGAATGTTGGTGTCCTGCAAGAAAATTGTGGCTTGCTTTTTCAACATCAACAAAAGAAAAAGAAAATCGAGTGGGATCATCGGCAGGCAGCTTTGAATTCAACTCAGCTAATATTTCGATAAATGCATGTTTCCAAAATATCAACCTAACTTTATCTCCATTCTGCTGGTTTTTACGAGGAACAAAGCTAATACTAGTCTTATCACTTCAATTTAACAGCAATCCCTGAATTGATTCTGTGCAGCGGATGACGTCAAAGGGAAGTCGTTCTTGTCAATGCGTGTTTCGTCACTCTGAAAGGCCCTGCACCTTCTTGCGAAAGAATTCGCCGTGGCATACGCGTATCTGCGTTCATTTCTCGAAAAAAATGCAACACGTAGATGCTCCAGGTGTCAACATGTTCACATGCTGCCCAGGCAATCGCATTCAAGGGTGTGTTTTTCTTTCTTTCTATGCCGTTACCCAAAAACAGGTAACCAGGAGTGCCCCTCCCTCAATCCCAGCGACGCAGTAAACCGTACGTTAACACCAGAAAACATAAAATCAAGTCGCGGCACTCCCAGCTAGGAAGATGAAATAAACGTAAAGAAGCAGGCGAAGAGGTGGTGCAGACCCGAAGGAATTGTGTTATGTAATAAGCAGGGAAAATCATAGATGAGAAGGCTTAAAGTAGTCATTAGCCAAAGTCAGCTAATGACAGCCCGCTATAACCACCCAATAAGCTGCAACCACTCAATTCACCGTGTTAGTAAGGGCTATACAGTCACACAAGTCGGAGGGGGCAATTACCTGGTCATTTTCGTGCTGGGTTTTGAGCTGGATGTCCAGGTAGTCCATCCAGCTAAGCAGAGGTTTTTGCTGGGAGAACTCCCGGAGCCAGCGCCGTGAATTTGGGTATATGTGCGTGACTTTCACTATATCAGAAATTGATTATGGAACATGAAGGAGGTCAAATGTGAAATGCGTTGGACATGTGCAGCGCAAAAGATTGCAATGTCTTCAGATATGTTGGTTACGTTAATATGTATTCACAAATGTTTGCGGATGATGTTCTTAAGGATGGGTTTTGATACAGAGATATCAGTTATTCTTGGAAAATATGAAACCATAATGTCGTTCCACAGCTTAGGGCCAAGGCAAGATGCTGTAAATAGCCTATAATTACGATTGGAGAAAGGTTGGTCTAAATGTTTTGCTCGCCTCATATCCATGTCATTTGATTCGTAGAACAAATTAAACCGAATGATGCATGGAGCTGTGAAGTTACAAATTTGTGCATCACAATTAACATTTGGGATTTAGCAATATCCGATAGTTTCAAAATGTTGTATCGTTTAAAGACTGGCTCTGAGCTTTGTGGAGGATACACATTTTCCAGGAGACGCGCAGCCCTTTTTTGCAAAATTACTAACCGATCTAATTGAGAAGCATAATTTATACCCCAAAATCAAGCAGCAGTAATTTAAATAAGGAAGAATCAAAGTGTTATAGAATAGATGTGACGTTGTTTTATCAATAAAGTACCTAGCCCTACTTATCATTCCAATATTTCTACTTACTATGCTTGCTACAAAATTAGTGTGGCTTGTAAATTTAAGAGATTTGTCAATGATTACACCAAGGTATTTTGGTTCTTTTTCTCTTCAATAGGTGAATTACTAATTTGCACATTTAGTTGGAAATGCGAAGAAAGGGTAGTGTAATGCTGTGTGAATGTTTTTGATACGCTCAGGGAAAGAAAATTAGCAGCAAACCAAGAAGCCATTAGAAGCAAAAGCGCATTGACATTGTTTTGAAGTTCAACAATACTTTTATTTTTTAAAACAATCGCGCTATCATCAGCGTAAGACAGACAAATCACGTCAATGCTTAATTTAGGCAAGTCATTTATGTACATTAAGAAGAGAATTGGGCCGAGAATGGATCCTTGGGTACCCAATTGTTACGTTTTTTATTGTTGATATATAATTCCTGATTTTTACACACTGCGTTCTGCCAGACAAATAAGAGCATATGATGTCATGGGATTTTCGTCGAATACCATATTTAGTAAGTTTACGTAGAAGAAGGTTTATGTTTACAGTGCCAAAGGCTTTTTCAAATCTGAATACAAACCTGACACATATTCCCCGTTTTCAAAAGCCTTAGTGGTAGTTTCTTGCAGAAAAAGAATTGGCATGTAAATGCTTTTGTTCTTCCGAAATCCGAACTGATTTTGGTGAGTTAGGTGGTTTTGGTTTAGATGAATAACGAGTTTATTATATATAAGCTTTTTGAGAATTTTGGACATAAACGGCAAAATACTGATAGGTCTGTAGTTATTTACAACTTGCGAGTCCCCACTTGGGACCATTTTCATCTCCGCCAGAAGCTGCATATTTCTGCGAGCATTGCCCTTGTCACAGGCGTAAGCGTCCGCCGGTCCCTGCTGTGACTGAGTCCAGCCAACTACAGTGCGTATGCTTCACGCGTACTTGAGTATTCATTTTCAGCTGTTCCTCTGTAAGTATACCGCTGTCATCTGCAGGTGCGAGGTATGATTTCAACGGGAATGTCCGTGGCAATAGCACACCCACTTTGTGTGTGTGTGTGTGTGTTTGTTTTTTGTTTTGTTTTTGTAAGCGTCGTCTGGGTCTGTTAGTGCAGCAGCATAGTGTTTCAGAAGCAGCGCATAACGCAATGAAGCACTGTGTTCATGTTTTGCCTCATGATTTAATACTCTATGCAAAGTCATTGCCGTATTCTTACGCGACTTTATTTTCGTGCGGGCAATGAAAGAAAAGTGAGCTGACTGTTATGCCTTTCCTTCCAATGTCGTGGAAACGAAATAGCACGACCAAGACGAGCCGACTTTCAACAATGTAACAGGTGGGCAAGGGCTGCCTCACAGCAAATCCCAATCGCAAGTGTTTGTTTATGTGTCCGTTTAGTGACAGATCATAATTACACTGAACTCGGCTGTTGTATTTTGCGGCAGAGAATCTGCGAGCTTCACGCGCAGTGGATTTTTTACTGGGAGATTACAGAAGCATCAGGTTTACATTTTTTCAAAACAAACGTCACACGGCGGAACAGTTGCAAGGACAGTGACATGCATTCTTTGGAAGTGGGGAAGCCGTTTGAATGAGTGACAGGAAACTGAGGAAATCTTTTGAATGACATTCCTGCATGATCACTAAATTTCTATCATCACTTACCTTCAACTACTAAATTTCTGTTCTATCACAAACTTTTGGTTTACGCAACCGAAGTAAATGTATCTTGACCAATCAGCATATGATGCAATATAACACGGATCAAAGGCAATTCTCTCACACAACAGTCAGCTACTTTATGTGCGTTAGGTACTAATTGCAAGGTGTCGTAAATGCGTTGCAAATATATTGTTTGCAATATGTTGTTTGCACAATGTTAGGATAGTCGTCGCCCTTTAGATGAGCTAAGTATACGCATCCATGACTACATTTCATGCACTAGACAACCACGACTTGAATGCCTCAGGCATCCGTGCATAGCGCCTTCGGGCAGCCTAGCCACACCCTTCCCATGTGTCAGGCCTTCGACGATCGAAGTACCGCAGCGTGACCCCCAAGGTCGGGACCATGGCCTCGACGTATAAAAGTGCCAGCAGACCTGCGGCATACACGCACTCACTGGTCTACTCTCCCAGCAGTCGGAGGTCCAACAAATCGCAGAGATGAACGCCAAGCTTGCGGTACGTATCCTAAGCTACAGCTTGGAGCTGATGATTAATCATAAGTGGCGTTTGGAGGCTAGTAAGCAGTACAAGTGGTAAATAAGCTGTTTAAGCAGATTTGGTATTGCCAGCCATGATAGAAATGCATTCAGTGGTACAAAGAGACGATCTAAGTTGCGTCTTGTTGCATTAAGGATCGAATCAGGTCAGCTTATTTTTTGCGCAGTTTGTGCCAACCCCAGTTGGGGAGCGAGGTTCCAAATAATTTCAGCTGCGCGCTTCGAAATAATTCGACTTGAGGAAGAAACAATCAAGGATTGATGGTGTCGTAGGCCCGTCTTAGACGATCGCTCACACAAGATGTACACGACGTTTATGTCTCCTCCTTTGCTTCCAGCTGCTGCTTCTGGCCGCCCTGGTGGCTGTTGTCTCTGCCAGCCACGGATACAGTGGTTATCACGGCTACCGCTCATACGCCGGCCCCTACTACGGAGGCTACAGGAGCGGACACCACGGCTACGGTTACGGACTCCGCAGCTACGGCCACCACGGCTACCGTCACCGCCGCTCTCTGGGCCACAGCGCCTACCGTAGCTACCTGCCCCACGGATATGGATACGCCAGCCACGGATATGGATACGCACCCCGCAGCTACGGATACGGATACGCTGCCCGCAGCTACGGATACGCCCCCCGCGCCTATGGATACCGCTCTGGTTACTATCATTAACCGCTGTGTTTTGTGATGGCACATCCGCGTCTGGCATCGACAAATACAAGTTCTTGAATCTTTCTGACAATTGATGTGGTAGATCAAGGTTTAGAGCAGAAGGTTCTCCCAACTGCGGGAATGGATCTAGAACTAAAGTTGTATTGTACCTGACAACATTAATAACGAAGTAGAACTGAAATGCTTTACATTGATTCACGGTATTGTTTTTTTCTCCGCCGTCACTGCTCTTCTAAGTAAGAAGTGGACAATGCTCGCCTTTTTGCATGACCAGATCTCGTTTATCCTATAAGATACGTACCCTGACAGCATGCGTAGTATGACTAACTTGCTGTATGTCATGTTGACCTCAGCATGACCTCGTCTTGGCATCCCACCCACATCATGACTATGTCCTGACATGACGGCACATAGGAGATGAAACACGCTCCAGTTGGCCCAGCCCCAGTTAACAGTAATACAATGGGGATCTGCAGACCTTTGGCCTTACCTTGACCTTTCATGCCAGTATGATTTATAGATGCTGTTTCTTTAAAGCTGTGACCATTGACTCTTTCCGTTTGCGCCGATATTTCCAAATTAGGCAAATCGTTCCCGAAAAAGCTTCATGGGACTCTTTTCCATGGGCTTTCCAGCCCAAGGCACTCGGCTGGGACGCCAGCCAATTAATGGTGAATATTCTTTGGAACTGATGTTATTGGCTGCAAGAAGAATAAATATACTTGTTATGATCAAAGTATAAACATTTAACTGATTACAGTCTAAGAACCGTTTCAAAAAGCCAACCGAACTGTGGTGGGCATGTATCCCCCGTTGACCATTGTGTGCCGAGTACACTTGTGACGTCATCAGTCGAAGCAGCGGAATTTGGCCGGACGGTTATGCCTTCTGTTCCAGGGCGTTACTCAATCCTACAAGCGCGGCGCTGCAGTGACTTTGGCCACGGTGATACGTGTACAGTTAGTGCGTGACTGTATTGAAATTCTTAACTTCGTTATATGTGTATCGGGGAGCAAGCTACTCCTATGCTGCTTTGGCAGGAAAAAATCCTCGGCTGAAAAACATATTCCATTGAAAAAGGTTTGTTTCGAAATTCATTGCAAGATTTTTCTGCTCAAGACTTACCCACATAACGTATGCTATTGGAGCTTGTGCGTTGTTGCCAGATGCACGTTCTTTTTGGAGCGAGTCGGGTGAAAAAGCGCAGGTGGCATTACAAAGGAGTCGATCAAAAAGGTGCAAGTATATGCTTTTATGTATTGAATCGCCCGAGGGAAATTAGCACGCAGCACTCAAACTTAGGTTGCGTTGCAGATTGGACTTGCTTCACACTTCCGCCTTTTTTTAAAGAAAATCCTAAAGTTTGCGCAAATGGGGCCGATTACGACAGTTATATTTTTGGGGATGATGGGGATCGGTATTGCAATTCTGAAAGTGCAAAAATAATTGCGCGCTGGGTCCCTAGCTGGTCGGGACGAGCCGGGCTGCAGGACAGATATTTTGGGAACAGTTGCGGTTCCATTCTGCAGACAAAAAGCTTTTAAAGTTCCGACTTTCAATATTGCTCCTTTGGCTAACTCTTAAGAGAGTTTGGCATCAGACATGTGTACAGGTTTGAAAAGAGGCCTACGGACCTGTCGTCTTTGCTCACTCGTGAATGCTTTGCCATGTTGTACTATTGACAGTGACCCCTCAACGCTGGGTCTTAGCTCTAGGTTATGGCGAATCCACCAAAGACTGTACCATGCGACACAATATATTTCTAGCCAAGAAATGCATGCGCCTAGGCACATTTGTCTGCCACTCATCATGAATCATGTGCACCACCTGGCACTCATTATGCATCACGACGTTCTTGATAGCCTTGGCGTCTTCCGTGGATCAGGAATGCGTCTTGTGACAAGCGGTCTTCCAGAACCTGAAGGCTCTATTCAGAAGGTCCCCAGCGGAGATCAATGCGTTAACGGTTCAGGGTGCTTGCTTATTAGAAACGATTGACATCACCGTAGCCCCGTCCATGCAAATAATGGGAAAGCTGACCGTTTATCAACATAGAGGTATCAGGGTCCACAAAATTGATGTCGTTACTTGTTTAGCCCCGCACACGAAGTTGAACCATGTGTATGTGTAGTCACTGTACTAAGACTCCATATGCCACACAAAGCGTCAGAGAGATTCAAAGCCTTTTATTTGTCGATACCAATTGTGGGTGGGCGATCACAAAACAGGACGCTTAATGGTAGTAGCCAGAGCGGTATCCATAGGCACGGGGGGCGTATCCGTAGCTGCGGGCAGCGTATCCGTATCCGTAGCTGCGGGGTGCGTATCCATATCCGTGGCTGGCGTATCCGTATCCACGGGGATGGTAGCTATGGTAGGCGCTGTGGCCCAGAGAGCGGCGGTGGCGGTAGCCGTGGTGGCCGTAGCTGCGGAGTCCGTAGCCGTAGCCGTGGTATCCGCTCCTGTAGCTTCCGTAGTAGGGGCCGGCGTATGAGCGGTAGCCGTGATAACCACTGTATCCGTGGCTGGCAGAGACAACAGCCACCAGGGCAGCCAGAAGCAGCAGCTGGAGGCAACGGGGGCGACATAAGTAGTGTTAACGTATTGTACAAAACATAATCAAAAACAAGCTTGCGTAGCTGTAAGAATCTATCGCCAACAGTTTTCTGCGCCTGCATTGTTTTTCATGTAGACTGGTCTTCGTTCATGACAAATCAAGCACAATTGCGGTCGCTACGAGCTGGATAACTTAACGTTTACCATCCCATACCTCACGTAGCCTTCCGCGTTTGAGATCTCTTCGTGCCCCCCCCCCCCCCCCCAGTTAGTTGTTTTAAGCTGGCAATGCCAAACTTGCTTTAACGACCTTATTGATACTTTGCTTTTGCTTATTAATTTTTGCTTACAAGCTTTCAACTACTAACCATTATGCTCAGATAGAAGCGATAAGCACAAATAGCAACCCAAAGCTGTAGCTGAGGACACTCACCGCAAGCTTGGCGTTCATCTCTGCGGTTTGCTGGACCTCCGACTGCTGGGAGAGTAGACCAATGAATGTGTGTCTACCGCGCGTCGTCTGGCACCTTTATACGTCGAGGCGTTGGTCCCGACCTTGAGAGTCACGCTGCGGTAATTCGATCGTCGAAGGCCTGACACATGGGAAGGGTGTGGTTAGGCTGCCCGAAGGCGCCATGCACAGGTGTCTACCGCGTTCAAGTCATGGTTGTGTTGTCTATGGCATAATGCTACGGATATGGGTGCTTAGCTGATCTAGAGGGCCAGTCCTATAGTAGCGTGCAAACAACATATTGCAAACAAGATAGTTACAGCATATTCACAATTATTGTTACTATGTTGTAATACATTGCAACATATTGCAACAACACACCTACACCATATTGCAAACCGTATCTAACGCACATCAAGTAACTAATTGTTGGGTGTGAATTTTGCTTTTGATCCGCGTTGTAGTGCATAATATGGCCAGTTATTAAGATACGTTTACTTAAGTGAAGTGGGCTAAAACGTTCATCTGTGGATATATCCCAGTTTTGAGATTGGTGATAGTAACTTGGTCATGGCACAAAAGTTCCAGACACCTCTGCGCCTCTGGTTTGTATATCAACTAAGGATTTCGGGGCCCGTTTATTTCAAACTTAAACAAACGACGTTATCTTAAAGATGCAGAATTATAGACAGCGGGTGATGTGCCATACAGAAAGACGTTCTAAACATGCATTTCACATTTGTCTTGTATCCTATTTTTCCGCAGCATTTAACAATATCTCCAAAGTTTCGGCAGACAAATGCTGGTGATGTCACTCGAGTGACAAATAATGCTGAGCAACATGTTATTGCTATTTTTGCTGGTACCCAATACAACAAAAACCGCGTGGCGGTACTTGTGGTGTGCAACATGGATGCTGGTGAGAGAAGGTTGATAATTTCAAAGATACTCAGTGGTATTTACTCCGTTTTGTTTTTGCATGGCACATATACTTCAGCGCAGCACGCACCATCTCATAGAATGCGGCTGATTGTTGAATTTGGGTTACGATACTGCGATGGTTATGTCACAATGGAATTGTGCTTGTGCTACGTATAGCGTAGTGAGCAGAGGTGGCGTCCATGGCTTGAAACATCTGATATGCTTTACTTTCTCACCTGGCAGTGATCAGTGATATGACATTTCAGCCAACAATCAAATGATGTGCGCAATTTGGGGAGCATGGCCTGTGATCCATTGACATGAGGTAAGATGAAATCTCGGGAACATTTTGTTGATTGGCTACGCCAAATTCCCCCTCTTCCTTGACACTGATTGTTGGAAAATGGCATGACAGTGTTTAAGACATAAATTGATGCAACGCAACTTTCATTGGCCAGATACTTTGCTCACTGCTTTCTAAGTAGCGTGACTGTTGTCCAAAGGCTGTCGATTTGTAAAGATATCGTCATAAGGGAACAAGGCCGAAAAACTTCTCAGATTTCGTGCCTAATTTCATACCTATTCGTACCTAATAATCGTACCTATTTTTTAAAGTTCATGTGCGTAGCCACAGCAGTCAAGCATGGAAGCCTCACAGATTGCATCTGCTTCTTGAAAGGACACCTGTTTTGTGAAGTTGAAGGGATGCAGTTACAGCTCTCTTTCTTACATGCTGAAAACTTCAATTGGTGAGCCTCCCCCCCCCCCCCCCCCAATTACCAACGTTTTGGCTACGTCCCTGCGTCGGTACGGTTATTGGGCACCGAGTATGCATACTTATCATCGCATTTCCACTGGAAAATCAGCTGAAGTAGCAAGCCTGTAACAATCAGCCTGCATTATGCACGGCATTGATATGACGGGTGCGTCATTTTCACACGCTCGAAGTAAAACGGGTGAGGGTTGTTTTTCACTCAGAGGCAGAACAGCTTGGAGCAGGGTCCCCAAGACGTATAGCTGGCTTGCCTGTCGTGTCTATTGAAAAGAGCGGGGAAAGGGATTCTCAAAAGAAGGGCATCTATTTAATCGTATCTGTGGAAACGTTGGAAACCATGTTTTTAACTTTTGCGTGGAAT